CATCTCCTCTGTATCCTGCAGTCCAATTTAATTGAGCGACGGCCTCGCCACGGCACACTGCTCTTTCGACAGGAGGGTAAACTCATTCTGTCCATCACGTCATTTGCTTTCTTAAGGGCCTCACACTATGCAGCTTAAATAATTAAATGCAGGTCACATCGCAGCCTCCCTTTTCAAGTCTGTCTGAGGGCACAGTGGGTTCTTTCTGATGGCTAGCTTTTGACCACGTGACTTTTAGAAGCTAGTGGGTTTTTTTGTTTGTTTTGTTGTGGTGCATGACACTTCTCCCCACTAAAAACCCCAAACCTCAACATAGCACAAATCCAATCAGAACAGCTGAAAGGGCTGTGGGTTTTCTGATGGTGGATGAATGGTGACAGAGAGAAATTTGAGACCCTGATTTCAGTAAGGGTCTCAGAGCAGCCCGCTTGTCATGGTCAGTACTTTCCATTTGTCATCCAGGAAAGTTGAATGCTAGAAGACAAATCCCTTGCATGTTATTGCATGAGGCCATTCACCTCAAGTTGGCATGAGCTTGTCAAAAATAAAGCAAATCTTTAAAATGACCTAATAAGAGAGAAGTTTCAGGAAGGACTAAAGATAACTCTTACCTGTAGTGTCCATTTTAAACAATAGATTTATCTGGGGGAACTTGGAGTGATTATAACGAGTTTGGATTGAGTATAACCCAATGCTGATTTTGCACATTACAGAAATTTGTCGTCTTTAAGTCATGTGCCAGATGAATGCTTTAAAATAGATGCAACTTTGTGTGAATTCTCTATAATATAGCAAAATCTGATTGCTCTATTAATAGTCAAAGTCCTTGGCCTTGGGAAGTCAGGGTGGCAGCATTTTTAAAATTCATCATCTCTGCATAATTAGTTGTGAATCTCTAAATATTCAAGCTGAAGAATTAACCAGGAACTGGAGCGTTATCCTTCAGTGTTCCTTTTAATATTGTTCCACAGTCATCACTTCCTCGTGTTTTTCTAATTACTGCAAAACCAACTGTTTTTAACTCAACTGCCCTGGCTCTTTGTAATTTGTTGAATGTAATCACCTTCAAACGAAGAAAATGAACTAATTGTCAGGAACCTGGAGCTTGACTAGACAAGCCTCATCTGGTGGCTGTGGGACGCCGACTGAAGATTTCCTTATTTGACCTGATTGTGCACTTTGAGGGTATGGGGCTCCAGGAGGGAGGGGCTGCTCTTGAAAGCAAGCTGAATAGTATGGCAATTTGTAGACCTTAATGGGTTTCAATTTGGAGAAGTAAATTTATGAAAATTAAAAAGAAAGAGGAATTCTGGTTCCTCACTCTGAGGAGCCAAAAGGAAGGCCATAGGCAGTAGAAAGCAACTGTTTAGGGTACTGGATGATCTCCTCTCTCAGATGATGTTTCAAGTCTTTACATCTGATTAGAGGCATCTAGGGAGCAGGGCTATGTCACTAACCTGTCCCCACCCCCAGTGTCCAGCAATGGCTGGGACACAGAGTAAGAGCTGAATAAACTAAAATGAACTAGTTTAGAAGTCAACTTTCTTATTTGCTTTTATTCTTTTCCCCAATCTTGTTCATCAACTAACCAATTCAACTTGGAGATTTTCAAATAACAAATATCAAAAGAACAAAGGTCCTCAACCTTTGTCTCTCTCACATCTCAAGGGTGTGATGCATTTTCATCAATAAGAGTGACGATAATTCCAAAATTGGGACAGAGATTATGAAAATCAAGCCAGGGGCATGGGGTCATTTAAAAGAAACAACACAAAACAGAGGATTCTGATATGCCTCAACAGCCATCATGGAAGAGTAAGCTAAAATTCAAAAATTAAGAAAAATTGTGAAAACAGATTCACTGCTTTCTCTAGCATAGCCTTCAGAGAAGGAGAAATTCCTTATTCGATTTCTCTCTGTTGGTAGCTACTCTGGCTCTTTCTTTCTTGGACAAGAAAGGCCCAAAGGGATGATGGATGAGCACAGCAGGAGCTAAGCCAGGTCTTAACCGGTCCTGTGAGTTAGCTGCATTTTTATTCAACACTTATGATGTTAACATTTATGAAACACCTTTGATTTGCCAGGACCTGTGCTAAGTGTAGGACATGAATGAGAAGCAATCTTGGCACTAATGAGAGAGCTGAGCATGCAAAGAAATAAGCATAATCTCAAGTGGCAAGTGACAGAAATAATTACAGGGTATTAAAGGAGAACAAACAAAGAAGAGCAACTTGGGTGTGGCTGGTGGAGGAGCATCTGGGAAGACTTCCTGGAAGAGGGAAAGTCTGAACTGAATCTTAAGGACTAAGCAGGAGTTAGATGAAGGTTAGAGAAGAAGGGTGTTGGTGTGAAAGCCATTCCAGGAAGTGAGACCACAAGAGCAAAGGCACAGAAGCCCCTGACAGCATCACGTGTTCAGGACAGGTGAGCATTTTGATGACACATAAAGTTTAAGACAGAAAATGGAGAAAGATGAAGTCAGAGAGACAAGGCCAAGGTGGGCTTTGCGAACTTTGTAAAATGAGGAGATTGGATTTGGTCTTTGGGTGATGGAGAGTCCCCAAGAGTTTTAAGCAAAGGAACAACATGATGGGAGTTGGCACTTTGGTGGCAGCGTGGATGATGCATTTGAGGGGGACAGGACTAGCAGTGGGTGGACCGGGAGAAGGGGCAAAGGGAGGTAGTGGGGCTGTGTAGACCAGATGGAGGTGCCTCTGGGCAGTGATAGACAAGACAGAGAGGGGCAGATGGGAGAAGTATCTGGGAGGGAGGCAGCAGGACCTCGGGACTGCCAGCATGTGGAGGGTGGGAGAAAGAAGACTGGAGGAAAACTCCTAGCTTCACAGTTTGTATTCCTAAAAGGATGGCAAGACCATCAGTTAAGACAGAGAGCTTGGGAGACAGAGATTTCTAGAGACAAAAACAAAAGTTTCAGTTTGGATTTTTGCCTTTGAAGCACCCGGCAGGGCTGGTGTTGGTGGCGGGCAGCCAGGTAGATGAATCAGAAGCTTGGGGGACAAGCCTTGGCGAGAGACTGTTTTTTTACTTTTTACCAACCAGGTCCGGGGGGTTCAGCCAGGGGGCAGACTCCCCTCGCCCTGCCTCCTTCCAGAGATTGGGGTGTCACTGCTGCAATTCCCCTAGGTCTCCTCTGGTCCCACATTCTGCCCCGCTTTGCTCTCTCCCCGCTTCACCTTCCCGCCCTTGTCCCCCTGCTCAGCCGTCTCCAAGGCCCTGCCTGCAGGACAAGGACAGGTTTATGCCCAGCTTGGCAAATTAGAGCAGGGAGCTGCGTGGAAACAAAGCCACAGAATTAGTCCTGTCCGCTGCCTCACCCGCTGCGCCGCCTCCCCAGCTCCTAAATCCTGCTGCCGCCGCCGACTCTGTGCTAACAACCTGGACTTTTTAAACATATTTCAAAGTCAAGCTAAAGAAACTAACCTTGAAAGAAAAGACATGCATTTACTCAAGTGTTTTATGAGCCCATAGGCAGGGTTTTGGAAATTAGGATTCTATTGCCACATTGGGTGTGACTCAAAGAAGCCAGTGGGCACAAGAAACCATGGGATGTGGGGTCCCCGGGCACTCTGTTGTAAAGGGAGGGCTCCCCAGGCATGCTGAGACTGGCAGGGGAGTGGCTAAGGACTGAGAAGCAGGCCAAGCGGAGAGGGCAGCGGAAAGGGCACAGGTGGGAGCAGGAGGCCCCTGAGTGTGCAAGTCCTAGAAGCCGGGGAGGACAGAATGCCACTGTTAGGTGCCAGCCCTCCACCACCTGAGGGAAATCAGGGAACCAGGAGAGAGGGTGTGTCTGAGAAGGGCGACTATCTTGGAGAACATCCAAGATGACTTCAAGATCTACTGGCAAATGCATTCTGCAGGTTGGGGACCTCTATTACCCAACCTTGTTACTTAAAGAGAGAATGGGGGGAGATCTCACTTTCATAGGCACACGCGATGAAGCATGGCAAAATCATGACCCGAGGGAAGAAAATCTCCACCCTGCGCACCCAAGGCACGTCCTCCTTTTGGTGTTTTTCTCTTAATCGTTCCTATTTTCTTTTAAGATCAACCTTGCTCACATTTAAAAAATTAACAGTGCCGTGTCCACCCTAAATGTCCCTTCCCAAGGTTTGCTGGAAGCCAGCACACACCCACGGCCACCCCAGCAGTCTGCATACGTTTTCTCTTTCTGGCAGCACCCTGATCAGCCCAGGTTGAGTGCTGGCCGGCTGGGTCAGGGGTGCAGATGACAGAGCCCTGGCAACAAGTCCGCTGTTAAAGGCAGAGGGTAGGTGCCTGGCTAGAGGCAAGAAGCTTCTTGCTGGCTGTGTAGCTTCCAGGGCTCCTCTGCATAGACCTCATGGTTTTACCCCCAGAAGCGCCATTTGCCCAGAGGCTGATGTAATAGTATGAAAGAAGCCCCCTCCTTTCAAATAGAGATTTGCTCTGGTTGGAGGGAAGAGGACGGGCAAAGTGAGCACAGAGAGAAAAAAACTCAGGCTGAGACTCCCTTCATTTTGCAGAAGGACAGAAATAAAAGTTAAAGGAGCAAGTTCACTGTTCACCAGGATCCGCAGCCATCGCCGAATGCTTATTCCCTATTGCTTTGCACAACTCATTTACACAAAGCTATGTTAAAATTTGAACCCTAACGTAGTTTCTCTCCTACTCAGGTGCTCCCTCATTCAAATAGTTTATCTTTTTTTTTTTTAAAGATTTTATTTTTTCCTTTTTCTCCCCAAAGCCCCGCAGTACATAGTTGTATATTCTTCGTTGTGGGTCCTTCTAGTTGTGGCATGTGGGACGCTGCCTCAGCATGGTTTGATGAGCAGTGTCATGTCCGCGCCCAGGATTCGAACCAACGAAACACTGGGCCGCCTGCAGCGGAGTGTGCGAACTTAACCGCTCGGCCACGGGGCCAGCCCCTCAAATAGTTTATATTGATCTTTCTTCAAATTGCCTTTAGACCATCCCTCCTCCCCTCTCCCATTTCCTTCTCCCCACCCTACTCTGGAACCCCACTGCCAGAGGAAGACATAGGACTGAATATGAAGATTGTGTCCCTCTTTTTACTAACAAGCCACATATGGAATCACGAATTCCTCCCGGACATCTTTCTTCACTTGGCTTCTGAGACACCACACTGCCCGGCTCTCCTATCCCTCACTGCTTGCTCCTCCTCAGTTGCCTTCTCTGGTTCTTCCTCTTCTCCTCAACCTCTCAACTCGGGAAGATGAAGGCCTCTCTCTAGCAACACTCTCTCCCCTCCTGATCTCATCTGGACCCAGGGCCTTAAATGCCGCCTACCTGCTGATGCTAAAATTTACTTTTCCACACCAGACCTGATCTGCTGAACTTCACACTCACACAGCCCATCACCTACTCAACACCTCCACTTGCTTAATGGGTACCTCAAACTCCGCATGTCTAAAATTAACTACAAATCTGCCTCCCCGAGCCCCAAACTCAGACTTCCCCATTTCAGTTGGCAGAATGCCTACCCTTCCAGAACCCAAGTCTTGGAGCCATCTTTGACTCTGCTTTTTCTTTCACCACCACCTCCAATCTATCAGTGAGCTGTGTTGTATTTTTAATTAGATCTGGAATCAGACCATTCGCACTCCCTGTGTTGAATGAGCCACATGGGGCTATTAATATTTAAATTAAAGTTAAATAAAATTTAAAAAATTAAAATAGAGAAAAAAAAAAAAGAATGGCCCAAGGGAGAACTCTTAGAAAAACTACAGCAAAAATTAAATTTAAAAATTTAGCTCCCTACTTGACCTAGCCATGTTTCAAGTGTTTACGAGCCATGTGTGGTCGGTGGCTGTGGTATTGGGCAGTGCAGACCCTGAACCTTCAATCACTGCAGAGAGTTCTGTTAGCCAGTGCTGCTCACTCCTTCCCTGGGATCGCCCTAGTCCCAGTCACGAACATGTCCTGCCTGAATGACTGGAATAGCTTTTCAGTTGATCTTGCTTCTTCAGTCTTCAGGACATGGCAGCCAGACTGATCCATTTAAAACATCTCAGATCATGCCATTCCTTTGCTCTGACTTGTCCAAAGGCTCGCACACATGTCTCCCAGCCAAAGTCCTCAGCAAGCCCAGCAAGGCCTTACGAGCTCTGGCTCCTTTTACTTATCTGACCTCATTGCCCAATCTTCCGACTTGCTCTCTCTGCCACAGCCATGCTGGCCTCCTGCTGTTCCTCCTCAAGCCCTCTGCATGGGCTGTTCCCTCTGCTGGGAATGCTCTTTCTCCAGATATTCGCCTGGCTCGCTCTCTCTCTCTCTCTTCCTTCTAAGCTCTACTCAAACATCTCCTTCTCAGTAAGGCTTGTTTGGACTGCTCTACGGGAATTTTAACATCTGCCCCTCCCATCACCACTCCTGGCAGTCCTGCTCTCCGGGACCCCCCTCTGCCTTACATTGTCTTTTCCCCAGCATTTATCTCTATTCAACAAACTATATACATTTACTTGCTTATTATATCTATTATTTACTGTCTGCCAGGGATCTTTGTTCATTTACTCTCTGCTGGAAAGCTGGCCCAGAGGAGGCTTTCAATAAACATTTGTTCAATAAATGAATGAAGTTTTAGAGCTAGACGGGACCTTGGAAATCATTCTTGGATGGAGCAGTTGAGGTGAGGTTGAGTCAGTGAGGTGAGGTTATTCACTATGGACCCACAATAAGTTCAAGGGAAGAGCCTGGACTAGAAGGTGGCCTGGCCGCAGGTGTCTTCACTAGGCAGGTCCCATGACAATGAACTCCTCTCCTCCCTTGATTTGTCACAATCAGAGGGACAGTGACAGATCACAGAGAGCTAACCGGGACAACAACCTAACTAAAATGCCAGGGGCATTTGCCACCTTCTTCTTGGTAAGCCTTTGCAGGATTCAACCATTGGTCCTGCTTCTCTGATGACTTGTAGGATGCAAGGAGCAAAGTGGAGGCTCAGGTTAATGGCTGTTTTCACATGCCAATCTTAACTCCACGTGTCACAGATGTCAAGACTCTTGGAAAATTGGAAAAACACATGGTTGCTAAATTATGTTTTTTGCTAAAGCAACATATCCGTCTTTTAAAAAAAGAAAGTCATGATTTCATCATATAATTGCTAAATTAGTATTTGAGGAAAAGTTGATTAGTATGAAAAGAATGATTCTCCATTGCATCATTAAAATATTTCTGACAATCCAGAATAGATTACAAGAAAAGCAGACCCCAGATCACACTTCGTATTAGGGGTTCCTCTGTCCTTTTGTATCTGTAAGGAAATGCCATCTGAATATACATATTTTTAAATATCTCAGGATGATGGTTTTTCTACTGCCAATTCTGATGCAGATAAAAACAGTGTGAGGATATTTCAACCTCATAAACAGACCTGTTCATAATGACGTGGGTAACAGGCCCAGAGTTACACAGCATGATATTAGCAAAGAGCCTGGAAAACTCCATCCATGGCTTACTGGATGATTTAACTTGCCAAAGTATGTAATTAAGAACCAAGCTATCTTTATAGTCATTCCTTCATTACTGAGATAACTCAATGGGAGGCTTTTCGAGAGATGCCAGATTTGGAAATAAAATCCTTACAGACCGCACTGCAATGTCATGAAGATTATACCAGAAAACAAATTGATGCACATAGACAATCTTCTGTATGTACCAGAAAATTAGATCTCAGGAGAGATGGGCAGCTAAAATATAAAAGCAAGGGCAGGTGGAGGCAGAGCACAGTGGCAGGGAATAATCAGCGGCACCCCTGAGAGAGGGGAGCCCCGAATGGCCAGTGTGCTTGCCATGCGTTACCTTGGGTGGGGCTCTTCATTGCTTTCACTAACTTGCCCCTTCCAGCTCCAAAACCATTATTTTCATAGTCCAGGTCACTGTCACTATCACTGCCACCGCTGGCAGAGTACGCACACATTCTGGGTACCTTGTCCTAAATGAGTAATAATGAGACTGTTAAGATTATTCATGCAAATCAAAATGGGGCAGAACATCCTGTGAGGACAGGAAACGGTTCATATTCGGCCGTCGTTGTGTGCACAGAATTCCGTTCCCACTGCACCCCCAAGAATGACTCTGCTTGGCCTGTCTACCTGCTCCTAGTGGAGCTGGCGCAGTTACTCAATTACCAGAGCTGTAGAAATGAGCCTGTATTAATGAAGCCATTGACCACAGTCTGCCATTGTCCCAGGCACAGGAAAGTCCCCACGGCTACCCATTCTGCATTTTGTATACTTCTTTATAGGGTCTTATTTTTCTCAAATGCCTACTATGATCTTCTGTTCTGAGCCTAATGGCTTATTTATTGAAGTGATCTCATCACTGGCTTTCAAGCATTAGAGGGTGTGAAAAAAAATCAACCTTGGGGACAAAAGAATAAGTGTTTGCTTAATTTATAATTTTCTTCCAGCCCCTGAAAGGATAGAAACCTTTAGAAAAGTATGCAGTTGCTAACTCTATATGATCCCTGAGTCTACTGACAGTTCACGGGTTGAGGGACTCAGTGCCCCCTCTCACTAACATGCATACACAGCCTGACTGAGGATGTCACTGGCCTGGCGATAATGCAGCTAGGCAGTTTTGATACTGCATGAACAGTTTCTGTCTCTGTGCACATAAACGGAATTCTAGCTCCAGGACTGCAACTGCTAAGTGTAGAATCAAGGGGCTCAGGACTGTCTTTTCTGTGTGCAGACTATCCTATTCGAGTTCATCAGACCCCACTCATCCCAAACAGTTCAGGTACAGCTGTGTGAGATGAGTCTCTAAAGAATGTTTGGGAGGGCGTCATTTGGTTGGAAATTATAAAAACTCATTTCAGGATATGAGCTCCCTTGGCTGGGGTTATCAATTCAAGCAGTTACTCATTTCCTTTATTTCTTCATTCATTTACTCATTTATCCATTCATTCAACAGATGTTTACTGAGAACCTACTCTGTGCCAAGCGGTGTGCTAGGTTCTGGGGCACAGACCTCAACACAGGAGATACCAGTAGTCTAGCAAGGATGATGTCCGTGAAGGATGACAAGGTCTATTGGCTGTGACTCCAGGGGAGCCCCATGTCTTTATAATGCTCAGATTGACAGTTCGTGGGTTAAGGGACTCAGTCTCTTCTCTTGCTCAAATGAACACACAGCCTGACCTGTGACGATGTCACTGGTGTGGCAATAATGCTGTGTTCAGGCATTGCTGAGGCAGTTGACATGCTAATCCACGTCTAGAGTTCCAGCAGGACTCCAGGAACACTTTCTGGGTACGCTGAGATGCATTTTTTTCATCCCTCCACTCAAGAAACACTAATGGAATCAGGTACTGTGCTGGGCACTGGAAATATAAAGCTAACTCTTGCTTTGAGCTTCCCCTCCTTAGTGGTCAGTGAAGCAGAGCTCTAAGTTCTAAGTCAGAGTGGAGACTCTCACTAGTTAGGGCAGGATTTCTAGTGGCCAGAGATGGCGCAGGATGATGAGATAAGGGACCCCAGAGGTGTGTGTGTGTGTCGGTAGACATATATGTTGGGTGGGGAGTGTTCTGCCATCACATGTAGAGGGGACAACTCCCTCCTGGCTGCACTGAGTAATTCATTTTTTTTTCGCTTTCTTGGAATTGCCCAAACCCTTTGTCATTGTCAACACCTGTTGTCTCTGAGCTATTTTCCTTCCAACTCTGGGTGTCTTTTAGGGTTTTCACAGTTTTCCAGTCCTCAAATAAAGCATGGCCAGCCTTTCTGGTCTAGTGGTTAAGATTCGGTGCTCTCACTGCTGTGGCCTGGGTTCAATTCCCGGCCAGGGAACCACATCACCTGTCAGTTGTCATACTATGGCGGCTGTGTGTTGCTATAATGCTGAAAGCTATGCCACTGGTATTTCAAACACTGATAGGGTCACCCATGGTGGACAGGTTTCAGTGGAGCTTCCAGACTAAGACAGCCTAGGAAGAAGGACCTGGCCACCCCCTTCCGAAGCAATTGACCAGAAAAACCCTATGAATAGCAGTGGAGTACTGACATAGCACTGGAAGGTGAGAGGATGGTGCAAAAAGACTGGGCAGGGTTCCACTCTGCTGTACACAGGGTCACTAGGAGTGAGAATCCATGCAATTGCACTAAGAACAACAAAAGAAAGCAGAGTTCCTGAGCCATGAGCTCCTCCCGAGGTCCAATCACACATTAGGAGGCCCGTGTGTGCCATCTCAGTGTGGATGAAGAACCCATAGCAAAAACGATAGGGAGTGAAGAAATGCAGGTCTCATTCACTCTGGCACATTATTTGACCACTCCATGCCTAAAAGGAGTCTAATTATACCTGCCTTACATATCTCATAGGAGCAAGGGAAAGGTTAAAGCAACTGATGAGATAATGAAAAAACATCATTAAGTCATTCTAAATGGTGCTCTTATGGCTTGGGAGAGTGAATGGCTTGAGAGAGCCTAACTAGGGGAGACCATCCATACGTCAGGAATCTGGGTGCAGATCCGTGGAACCATTTGAATTCCTCTCAAGGCTCTATGAAGTAACTTAATGTCTCAGGAAAAAAGGTGAACCTTGGGCCTTGATCTTCATTCACTGAACCAACCACAAATTTACTTTCAAATGAAACTATCACAAATGTGTTTAAGAAGTTCACTTTTCACCATCAGGACCAACAGGTGGAGGGTGCCCTCCTGTCGGCCTCCCCTTTACCTGGGTCTCAGCAGTGGCATCTTCACCCCTCCAGTCTGGAAGTGGCTGGCTTGCCATTGTGTTTTCAGCATATTCGAATGACGAGCAAGTCTGAGGCCTTGGCTCTGCTTCATTCTGCTTTAGAGAATCAATTTTTCCTAAATGAGGAAATGTATATGAAATCATAATCAGCTTTGTTCAACTCTACAACTTTAGAAAGGGAGGTGGGTGAGATATTCAGAAATAATAAAAACGGCCCAAATATGGTGAAAGCTGGGTTTCCCAACATTCTGTCCCCTGCAAGTCTGTGCTAATGGAAATATCTGCATAATTATGTATATATAGAGAGAATGGTCACCTTGGAGACCCGAAGGCAAACTGTCCTTGGCCCACTTTTCCACAAACTGTTGTTCGACTTTTCATGTTAGAAAGTAGGCAAACTGTTTGGGAAACACTGATTATTCCTCAAATAATGGTTTTCATCAAATAACAAACAGGATTCCCTTTTGGAGGACTTCTTAGAGCCTTCATTGTGCTAATGGGGATTGTTATAATTTCCAAAAGAAGGATTTGAATTTGCAGCCTTTCCCAAACATATTTGAGCAAGGGAGCTTTATTTTCCTAGAATACCTGTGAAGGTCATTTTGAATAATGTGGTCTGGGAAACTTTCCTCTTCTGCCCTTACGTTTCCTCTCTGCCATTAAAGATGTTGTGGGGCAGTGCTTCTCAAGCCTTAATGCACACACGCATCAGCTCAGCTTTTGTTAAACTGCAGATTCTGCTTCAGTTGGTCTGGGGTGGGGTCTGAGATTCTGCATTTCTGACAAGCTCTCAGGTGATGCTGATGATGCTGGTCCATGGATCACATTTGGAGTAGCAAGGGTGTAATTAGCAGAGAATGATTAAGGAAAGTTCCTCCATTACCCATAATAGTAGATTAACCCACAGAGTGTATTCCTTCCTTATGCCAGAAAGGAGAATTGCTGTTATTATCCTCCGGCCTCAAGATTATCAACAGCACATGCTGTGATAGCCTCTCAACAGTATTTTGCTTGTGAGCAGAAGCGAAGTAATTGTATTTTCATCAGCACTGTGAGCTTTGCACAGTTACTTCCATTTTTGATACAGGAATAAGAGAAAAACCAGCTCAAATGCATACATTAAACAGGAAGTGACTGCTCTAAACCACTTCCCTGTTGTTCCAGATAGTTCTCCATTCCTTAATTTTTAAAATCAGTAACCAATGGCCACAGAGAAAAGAGAAATCTAGGAAAGCTAGCCCTGCCTCTGGACCACAGTGACAAAATCATTTGGTGGACAGGAAGCTTCAGGATGAGTGACACAAAGATGTCCTGCAGTGTGTTGACCTCACTCTCAACCTTACATTACTTTTTTACAACTCTTCATGACAATTTAATTAAGACACAAACCTTAGAAAACCAGTGCAGTGAAAACTAGCAGCAAGATCAGAACAATCTCCTTCCTATCGCCTTCTTACGAAGCAATTCAAGGCTTGCAGTTTCTATTCAATTTGTTATAATGACAGTGTTTAATCATGGAGTCTACTCAGCAGCCCGCTGCTGAATTGAGGTCACACATGTGACTATTCAGGCATGGAGCACATAATCTATAACTAAGATTTCACCCCTGAATCTCTGGAGGCTGCGTCATTAATTAACAATGGACTTATTTCAAAAATAATATGCATTACAGCCTTTTAAAATGTAGCCTTGGCTTGGAATGAGCAGAAGTTTGTGGTGAAATATTCATGGCAGCTAGTGTTACCGTACGAAGGGACAACTCAGCCATGGGAATAGCGCAATCCCATTTACTCAAAGATGTTTAATTAAAAGTCTTCTTTTCTAATTTCTCAGAAGCCTACAGTATAGTCACTACTTGTGGCTCCTTTCTAATCATCAAATCATAAACGAAAGTCTTTACAGTTCTATGTCATATGCTTATGCATGGCATAAACATAAATGCAACATAAGCCATACAAGTTAAAAATTATTTACTGTCATCTTGGGCTGGAATAGATATTTTTAATCTTGAGGGAACAATGAAAAAACTCTGACCCTTACCCTGGTCCTATCTTTAATCATGAAAGCTTGCTTCAGTTGACTGCGAGGAAAGATGGTACTTCTCAACGGGAAGGCTCACTCCATTTTATTACAGTTAATGTACAATCTACTGCTAATATATCAAACTAATTTTTTTTATAGTTAAACGTATAAATATATTTGAACAGGATAGGAATATGTCAGAAGACATATGTTTCTGGTTAGAGGGCAAACAACATTTCCACTAAATCTGTTGTAGGCCTAAACTGGTCTATATTCAGAGTTAAGTTTTAAAAGATAAAATCTCCTGACTGTATGTTGTGTGGTTTTTTTTCTTCATCAATTTATATATCCATATACTGGTGCTTACCTGCTGGTTTCCTTTATACATGTATACATTCCTTAACATAATAATGTGTAATACTTGTTTTACCTTTTGGGTGAAGACATGCAGGAATTTTCATGCATCCACCTTTCCATCAGGCAGATGAATTACTTCCTGATGGAAACTTTTTCTGCTGCCTGTTTTCCATTTTTGTCAGGTGCATTATTTTTTGTGGGAAAACAATCAAATTTGGAAGGGAATAGGCATTTTACCTGAGGAGGCTGGTTTGGGGAGGCGACTCTGAGGAGGTCGCATCCCTCTGGCAGTCACGATGGGGTCGGATGTGGAGTGAACAACGATGTTATCTGCAGAGCCCTGGCTGTCTGCAGAGGAAGGCACTTCTCGTTCAAGGGTCTGGGCTCTGATGGAAGAAGCTGCACCAACGGCTGGCTGGAGAGACAGGATGGGCTCACTGTCTTCTGGGGATTCTGGTTGACATATGTAGCGTCCTGCTGAGCGATTCCCCGAGTCTGGGAGTGGAAAGGTTCCGATCCCACTGTCCAGCGTCCTCATCTGGCAGTTTGATTCTAGACAGAGTAACAGAGTGAGGATTAGAAAAGCCTCATGTGAAAAAGGTAAAAGAATCACGGGCATTTGGATCTGATCTGGAGGAAGGGGGACATCCAGAAGGAAGAAATACTATTAATGGTGTAGGAAATTTCCAGTGAGTGGCATGAAACATTTAATTGAACATGAACATTTTCCCTTCATGTAATATGAGGTAAGAAGGCCCACTGTTACCGGCAGCAAGAGTCACATGTACATACACGCTGGATGGTTCTCCAGAATTGTAATAGAAAAAGAACAGTCATTAGAGACCAAAAATTACTTTTGATCACCCTTATTTCAATTGGGAATCATATGACTTCAATCAATTAGGTGAAATTTATTAACTGAAATAAGATGAGTAATGAGCACACATAACAAATTGAAGTGGTGTTCTAACAAAGGTAACTGCATCTCTTACATGAATTACCACCCATTTGGCAGTTAAATAAGTCTCTGGCCTCTTGATTTGACTGTGAGGACAAATAATTCACATGCTATAAAGGTCATCCCAAAAGGTACCCTCCTTTATCATGTGGTAACATCACTTTATCGTGTGGACTTCAATTGACCCAACTGTCATTTGAAGTCTTATTGAGAAGACTACAGCTTTCTGTCTTTCTCTCTTACCTTATGCAATGAAAAAACTCATCAGTACCCTTTGGATTTCTTGTCACTTCCATAGATCCCACTATTCCCTAACACAAATAAAGTTGATTTCACCATACATGTGCGACATATTCTGCTAATGATGTTTCATCTTCAAAAATTTTATATTCAGGAAAAAATGCAATATCTGAAAAAATTTTTATGTATTTGATTTCTGAAATGATGGTGTGTTTTATCTAAGCCAATGAGACAGCTTTCAAGATCTGGTTGTCACCCAAAAAGTCTCCTGTTTATATGATAATCTTAAAATGAAACATCCTCAGTAAAGTTTACATTAGTGTCTTATAAATCTAGGACTGGGTAAGAGGCACAACTCAGCCTGTTAGGCACGGTGGAGAATGTTATAGAATACGATGTAATCTTTGTGTCAAGAGGCTCAATAGGTAACATTCTGGTGGGGCCTTATGGAACACTGGCTTGGAGTGTGGTCTCTGCCAATAACTAATTGTGTGAATCCTTGTACAAGATCCTTAACCTCTCAAGGTCTCAGGTTTCTTTTAAGGTTGCCGTGAGGATATAAGTATGTTCACTATCAAATCTTTAGAATTTAGGATGACACCTAGCATATCATGAGATAGCTGAATGAATGAAATAATGAATGGTGAAAAACCCAAAATGCTTAGGATGTTTATGAGATATTAGTAGACATCTGATAGGTAAATAATTTATCCTTAAGTACCTTCCTTACACAATCTCATTTGATGCTGATCAATTAGTATCTGAAGTTCAGAATCTGCCCATTCCCTCCTCCTTCTCATAATCTCTTTGCTCTGAGTAGCTGAATTCTGGGAATTTGCTAGAACTAGGGTAAAAACAAAGGGATGGGGATGAGTACAGAGTTGGCTTTTATAGGTTCTAGTAGGTTTGGTGTTTGGTTTTGGTAGCACTGGGAACAAAAGAGAAGCTTCAGTCTCCAAAGGGATATTTATCAGAAAGAGCAGATACCTTTTCTCCAGTGTGGTGCCATTCAGACATTTCAAATACCGTTGGATCCCAGAGATGGGTCACTGACTGCAGGAGCCCTGAGTCACATGGCTATGGTCTGAGAGGTGCTTTTCTTTCCCAAGGTCATAAGGGCTAAGTTTCAGCCCCATTCATTTTAGGGCCTCGATCTGGTCAGCTTTACTCTCAACGAGCTTTATAGATTATTCATTGTCTTCTCGATTCATCGTCTTCTCAATTAAGGGGACTTAATTGTTACAGAATGGCCTTTTTGAGAAATAATCATCTGTTTGCATAGGGAGTATTGCCAAAAGAGTTCAAAAAGAAAGACCCTGCTGTTCAGAATTCAGTGTCCTTTCTTCATTTTAGCCTAGATATACAACGCTCTTCAGATTTAGCATGTCCACATGTTGTACTTGGGGCAATTATAAATGTCTGAACTATTTCAGTCTCACACAGGAGTAAGCAGATCTTCATCAGAACTGACCTAGCCTTTGGAGATGGGAATTAAGGATACATGGGATGTAACAGCTGAGGTGTGTTAGTCCCTACAGGCCCCAGGCTGCCTGCCATAATAATTTACTCCCAGCATCTTCACGACCGCCCACCCCTGAACCAAAGAGTGTTCAGTACAGTGGGACACTAGGGGCTCTGTTCCTTTTGTGAAGATGGATCGTCAAGTTTGGCTGCTTATTACAGCTACCAGGAGTTCACTGCTTTCTTTGTAGCATCTCTTCATCTTCACAAGCTCATAAGGTAAGAACGATTATCGCCATTTACAAATGAGGAATCATGGCTCAAAAAGGTTAAGTCGCTTGCCCAAGGCCATATGCTATAAATAAAGAGATTGGATTTAAATCCAGCCTTGCATAATTACAAAGACTCTGCTCTTAACCACCAAGTGATACTGATTCCTCCAAAATGTGCAGGTAAATCCAGAAGTGGGGTCCTCTCAGTTAACAGCGATTGAGGCAGCCTTGTGAGCAGAAAGCTCACAGAATGGCCCCGTGCTCCTGGGCAAGGTACCCAGCTTCTCCTCTGGAATTGGTGTGGGCGGCTGAATTCTAGCTGGTTCCCATGCTACCCATCCTGAGGTTAGACATTCTTGGCATCTACGTGGCTGCTGCCCCTACACAGGATGCCTATACATCCTGATGGACACCGTTCCTGAGAACCACTTCCATGCCACACCTTTTTGGGTGTTTATCTCAGCTCTCTGGGCTTGGTGATAAGCATTGCTTACAAGAACAATGTTTTCCTGGCTTTGTCTAAGAATTTTCTCCCCTCCAAATATTTTACCGCTCAGAAAGCACTTAATCCAGTCCCCTTAAATGGGGAATCAGAAAGTAAAGTGAGATTCTTGGCTGTCTTTTCAGTGATTTTCTGGGGAAAGGCCTCTCAGACCAAAGTCCATGCATGTTGGCCTGCCCTATAGTACAGAGCAGGAAAAAGAGCGAGGAGGGATCTGGGGTAGGAAAAAATGTTGAAAGAAGTCTAAGTCTGGTGCTCTTCTGAGGACACCAACACTTACTGGTGTCTGTCCCTTTAAATTATTCTCTTTTCCTTCTTTCCCTTCACAATATCGTCACACCAGAATCTATAAACAAGACTGCTGATATTCCTGAGTTCTCTGATTCTCTGAGAATTGTGCGCACTAATATTAAACTCAGAAACCACCTGCTATTAAAGCCATTTTTTATTTCTAAAAATTATAGATGCCAAATGTAGTAAATTTGAAGGACTCATTTGTAAGTACCTATGAAATGAGGTGTGGACAGTCAGGGACTCAGGCTCCATATGCCAGTTTCACCCTCAAGCAAATTTCTCCAGAATGCATAAACCTTTGGAAATGGAGTTTATATTGAAAATGCTGACACCTTCTTTATGTAGTTTCTTTCAGGCACTGTAAGTTTCTTACAGTTCATAAAAATATTGTAACCTGAAAAAGTCTTAGATATTGTACTTCTGAAGGCAGTTTTTTCTCAGAGAATTTTAAGAACTCACAAAATAATTAAATGGCCATGATAGGAACAAAGTTCAAAGGGGCAAGCCGGCCTTGCATTTCAAATGAGTTGACTCGGTCTTGATCTTGACAAGTGTAAGTTCACATTTGTGGCTGTGAGAACAGCTGCCAACAGGGCCTTGCTAATGAGTTCAAGGGTTGGGTCACTGGATGGACGAGCGGGTTTCATTCTTCCAAGGTCACCAATTACATCTCTGACCTGAGTGAGTCCTCCCACCTACTTCTCATTGTCCCATTTGCCTTCTGTCCATCTATCTCTCAAGGTAAGTTCTCTCACTTACCACCACCAACAAGCCCCAGACATTTCATGGGATCACTTACAGCAGTGCTTCCCAGGCCTTTTAAAGTCGTGGCACACATAGAAAATATATGGCTCACTGAGGAAAACACCAGCTGCCCCAGAACCACTAGCCACCTGAGAGCTGAGGGTGCCACATCTCAGCACACCTGGGATCCATCCACGGCATGTCAGCAGCAGAATGGTGGGAAATCTTTTATAGAATGGACTCAGGATCTTCTTTTACTGACACCTTGAACAGATTACCTTGCATATCTCTGGCAGGCAAGGATATGGATAATATTTTAGTCTCTTGGCAGCTGGTATGAGAATTCTTAGGCCCTCTTTTGTTGAGAAAAATGTTGAGAGTACTTGGGTTAGGAATATTGTCTGGCATCAAAGCCTCAGTAAGGAGGGAAGTTATTGTGCCTAAGAGGGAGATGAGCAGCCAAGAAGGGTGAGGGTCTGCATGGGATGGTGGTGGAGAAGACACTCTGGAGAAACATTTCCACTGGGGATTTCCAACTATTAACTTAGGGTATGAAATATAAAATGCCCACTCAGCCCTCCAGTGAGCATTAACCCTTCTGTTCCTTGTACTAGGTGTCTTGGCAAGTGGCTTTAGTTTCCTCATCTGAAAATTAGATAACATAACCTTCATCATAGGGTGCCTTGAGGACTAGAAACATTGCATGTAACAAACATGGCATGATGCCCAGAACATGTACATAGCTATTATTTAGAAAACGGCAGTAATTCTTTTTAAAGATTTTATTTTTTTTTCCTTTTTCTCCCCAAAGCCCCCCGGTACATAGTTGCGTATTCTTCGTTGTGGGTTCTTCTAGTTGTGGCATGTGGGACGCTGTCTCAGCGTGGTCTGATGAGCAGTGCCATGTCCGCGCCCAGGATTCGAACCAACGAAACACTGGGCCGCCTGCAGCGGAGCGCGCGAACTTAACCACTCGGCCACGGGGCCAGCCCCAGTAATTCTCATAATAAGTGTTATTAGACTGTAAGCATCCTGGGGGCAGACTGGATATTACTCATCTCCTCAATATTCCCATATAAGC